TATATATATATATATATATATATGTATGTATGTATGTATGTAATTATGTACATATGTACATGTATTTTTGTACTGTTTGTCTTTTCAAATAAATGTACAAAATAATATTCATTTATTGTGTATTTATAAATTGCACAAAATAGGTGATTTTAATAACATTAAGTAAGCAAAATTTTGATTCTTGTTACCAAATTGTTATATACAATTAAATAAAGTAATCATATAGCAACTTTTGTAAAATTTGTATTTTTATATAAGATTATAATGCTAAATCAAATTGAATTAATTAATTAAAAGAATTTATATTTATTGTAGGCTTAGATCCAGACATTAGTCCAGACGAACAAGAAGAAAAAGCTAGATTGATTGCACAGGTTCTCGAACTGCAAAATACTTTAGATGGTGTGTATATTTCATAACAGTTAAGGGTAAAAAAGAATATGTCTTATGACACTTCTATAATGTGCAAATATATATGTTCTGTTTAGATCTGTCACAGAGAGTGGACAGTGTGAAGGAGGAGAATCTCAAGCTAAGAAGTGAGAATCAGGTTCTGAGTCAATATATTGAGAATTTAATGTCGGCATCAAGCGTATTTCAGTCGACAAGTCCCAACACCAAAAAGAAGTGAACCTCATCATATTAATTAAATTAATTACACAATTTATGAATAAGTTACAGTGATTTTGAAGTGATTGTGATTGTTTTGAGTGTTTTAGAAAGTATGCGCATTTAATTACAATTTACATTTAGGAAAAAATATCTCAATATTTTCTAAAAATTTCAGTACTTGGTGCTTAATTTGCCTTTATTAGCTTATATATACTTTCTACGAGAAAAAAATATTTGTGTGTGTGTGTGCGTGTGTGTGTGTGTGCGTGTGCGTGTGCGTGTGTATGTGATTATGTAAGATATATATATATATATATATATATATATATATATATATCATATAATTTACTTTTCTCAGACATAATCAATCATCTTTTTATATAAGACTTCATAATGCATTCACTGTGACTGTGACTTGAAACACGCTTATAATTATGATTGTATGCACCAAAGAAATCCATTTGTACTTCTACAATTTTTATAAAACATAAATGCTTCGCAAATTTTTAAGACAGATATTTGTTAAGTAAAAGTTAATTATTTTAAAACTAATTTGCTTAATTTTTAAAAATTAATACTAAGTTGCTATGAAACTAATGCACATAATAGTACTAATAATATATATTTGTTATCCTGTTGGATAATAATGCAATCTAGTTGAAGTAAATAATATATGAAGCCAAGTAAAAATATTTCTAAATAATTTAATTTTATTATTTAATACCATTAACATTAATAAATTTTTTTATATACGATTACGAATTCATCTCTCTTTCATATACATTCGCTTACATTCGTTACATTCGTAGGCTTTTTCTAAAATTTGCTGGAAATTCACACTTAACATCTACAAAGTTGGGTACTAAAACATTCGAAGCCGTACATATATTTTATCCAAGTATTTGCTCTTTAATAGAAAATTCTTGCTTGTAAAATTTTGACGTATTTATACGCATGACGTATATACGCATTGTATGTAGATGTACAAAAGAGATAATGTATAAGATTATATAGAATGTAGTACGCTATAATTGATGATATATTATGAAAAGCTAATTTATTCGTGTATGCATTATAAGCAAGATGACCAGATAATTTTTGTTATTCACAAAACGATGTAAATTATAGATACGCAATATCATCGTGTAAGCATAAGGATTTGACGTATTGATTGGCATATAATATATATGTATCTGCAAACTGCGATAGAGTTTCAGTGTGAGAGCACAAGCACAATGCACAATCCCAAATTGTCTCAATTGTTGTTGAATAACAGTATTATAATAAACATTATATTCATTGAAACATTACTGTTTGATGATTATCGGTGTCTCATCCAAATGATTATCTTATCCCTTATCGTTTATCGTGCGATGTAATGCGTTGCTCAAATTATTCATTCATTCATCATCGTCCTGGATTTCTTCCCAGGAAAGTTTTTACGCAACAAATGAAATATTGGAAGCAAAATACGAAGCATGCCACATATTACGTCTATATCTTGAAAGTTTTGGATTAATCCTCTTGGATAGCCGAAAATTGTATCGCTTTTTGTCCCCAAAATGTTTTTGGCCCTGGTTTTGCTCGTCCATTTTTCTTTATTCCTATCCACCATCCATGATGCGTATATTTACGCGATCGGAATGCGTCGTAAGTACCAATGCTCCATTGTTCCCATTCAGTGTTGTCATTAGTCATATTTACCTGAAATCAAAATTAATTTGACAAATAAGACAATCAATCTTAACCATATTTTTTTAAGATTCTTTTTTATGAATATTTTGATTGAGAAACAGTTAGAATCAACTAGTGTGATTAAAAATTAAAATTGATTATCAAGCTTAAATGTGAAATCATATTCTAATGAAACGAGCAAACGAAGATGTAAAGTAATTATATAATTTTATTCGATAAAATTACAATTGATCGAATTGCCAAAGAGACTGCATTGACCGAAGAGGACTTTTGTTGCGATCAAATCTGCACACCTCTAAATTGAATGTCGATAACTGGCAGACCCAAAAATTCTTTAAAAGAACGATATATATATTGTATAAAGAGACGAGAAAAAGACAGGTCTTAACAGTATGAGTGTCGAACATAAAAAAGGATTTTTTTACATTCGACACTCATACTGTTAAGACCTGGCTTTTTCTCGTCTCTTTATACTATATATATCGTTCTTTTAAAGAATTTTTGTGACAATGTGGATTTTGTTTCTTGAGACTACTTGTTTAAGACTGCCAGTCTTGAGTGGAGAATATGCTCACTATATCCGAGCCTTACAGCTCGTATATATTTTCACATCTTCATTGGCAAGGAGGTTCTTTTACCCCAAGATTGACAACTTTGTTTGATCAACTTATTCATGCTCATGTATTTGAAGATGGCTCGAAAGGAGAGCCGAAACGTCTACGAATGTACGAAATTATAAACACTATTTGTTCAAATTATTTTTCATTGCGCATCATTTACCACGCTGACTCGTACACGCCGCGTTAACAATATCATATTTTTACTTTCCACGAGTCTTACATTTTATAATTTAATATTGTGTATAGAATTAGATCGACAAAATTAAAAACTGAGAATTAGGCCGTTATTGCGAGAATAAAAGTTTCCGAAGAAATTTTACATGGGACTATGTAGAAATTCATAGAGTGCAATGCTGCACTGTTTATAAAAGTTTACATATGTGATTACTATAACGAGTTATTCTTCATATTCTCTCATTGTCTTTTATAAAATTTTCTCTCGTAATATGATGAAAATTTGTAGAGAGAGAGAGAGAGAGAGACAAAAACTCGTTACTCGTTTCTATATTATTATAGGTATAGTTAACGTATGATTTTCTTTTTACATCTCACCTCTCCGTATAACTGCCCTTTCTTGTTAAATGCCAAGTATAGCCTTGTTTCGACGCTTTGTATTCTAATAACGCCAAAAGATACCGGCGTCGCGTAAAGTAGAGCTGTATATATATGTAATAAGAATATAAGCTTTTGTATGTGTGATAATGTGTAACAAAAATTTCTTTCTTAATAGTAATTGTATTGGCAAATTGTTGTTATAAATACATATATGATATATATATATATATTATATATATATTACAGACATTGATTTTGTTATATTTGAATTAATATTATATTTAACGAGAATGATGAGGAAATACCATGTGGTTCCTTATTTCCGGATAATCCTTCAATCCGTCCCGAAGGCGTAACTGTCAAATGATACCCGATGCGACAGTACAGCTTAATTATCCGACAATTATAGTTAGGATTTTTCGCTGGCTGTCGTGGATCCCATATTACGTAAGGCGGGTACTTGCGTGATTTGAAGTTACGTTCAATGTTGCGTGGCGTTCTACAATTGCAATCAGTTCATAGATTATACCTATGTATAGTTACACATTACGTATAACGCGATCAACACGGATCAGAACAGAAGATAAATCTGTATTTCTGACGAAAAAATTTAAATTTTGTCAAAACATTTTTATCAAAAATATCACGTTAATTATAATTTAAACATCAGTGATATAATGAATTACAAGTTTTACTATAATATCATACAATGGACATAAAATTATATTTAGTATAATATTTAATACATTTTGATAAACTATAATTCTTTTACGAATTAAATTTTAATAAAAATAATAATAATTATATCTTCCACCGATAATTAACTGAAAATGAAATGTTCAAATGCTAAATTAATATTTTATTATTTTAATATTATGTTTTTTGACATATTGATATTCTATTCATATTCTTTTGGTGTATTATATACTTCTTAAGCCGTTAGACGTGTTGCAGGGTTATCTTTACCGTTAGGGTGTCTTTATAGACGCTGCAAAATATATAGGTCAGCCAGTTTTTCCAGGTCAGCTAGCTCCGTGAATGAAGCGCACCACGCGATATCGTAGGCGTTCTCCCGTACTTCGTTAATTTTATACCGATTCTCAGGGGAGAGGAAACGAAATGTCAATAGGCTTTGTGCAAGAGTTTTACGCGAACAGCTCGGTTGCCATCAAAAGGCATACGTTTTAGCGTTTTAATTTTACATGGCTTCAATCGGTGTAACCCATTAATTAATATCCACAGTAACTTTCCGTATAATGAAATTGTTAAATTTTCTACGCGAAAATATTCAAAGACGTTCGGAGATATATTTCAGATCGAGATTGAGTTATCAAGAAGAATTTTGATAACTCAATCTCGATCTGAAATATATCTCCGAACGTCTTTGAATATTTTCGCGTAGAAAATTTAACAATTTCATTATACGGAAAGTTACTGTGGATATTAATTAATGGGTTACACCGATTCTTTTTGTTCTTTTTTGCTTAAAAAAAAGTAAATTTCACATCTGCTACTCTTGTTTATAAAAAACTTGTATTTATATTTATATTTTTTAGATAAATATCAAGTCAAGAAATATCGAGGTACTTTTTGTGTTATTATTTCATCATAAAATTATACTTTTATTTCTGCCGCGCGAATGTGAATACAATATTACGTACAATTATTATAAAATAATTTTTAAGCTATCCAGACAAGTTAAAAAATAAAACTCGACAAACGTGAATATTGTAGATTAATGTTTCTATATTTTTCTTAGATATTTAACTTGCTCGAAAGCTTTTTCTCCACGTTACGTACAATTTTTTTCTAACACTGAGAAACGTATATATATGTAACAAAGGTAATTGCGTTCTCCATTCGTACAAATTCGGACGAAACTTAATTTCTGTATAGCCTTTCGTCCCGAACTCGAAAATGTCGATCATAATTTCGTATATTGCATTGCCGCGTTGTGCGTTGCGCAAGTCGCACAGAATTGTTATAGTCACGACGCCGTCGCCGCCGCCGTTGCTGCACGGCACAGCGCTTGTTTGATATCGTTAATAACACAAACTACACCTAGTGCATCTGCTGACCCTGTGGCGATATGGAGCAGAAAATTAATCGAGTCAAATGATCAATGAATGTACTTTGTAACGTGTGCTAGCTGGAGGGCAACTAGAGGTAGACATATGCGTTCGCCATGTATCCAATAACCGACAGGCATTTTATCTTGTTCCAGAAATTATGTTAAATCGTTCATTTACGCGAATTATACATTTCGCCGCCACTATATAGGAGAGATTCGTAGATGAAATACAAGCACAGCCAACGGTTTATTCTTTTTCTCGTAAATTAGACGATTTTTTCATTTCTCCTTTATAATGTATTCACATTTTTTAATCGCCTTTTTAAATACAAACTGGAGAACGTTAATTGAACGTGTTTGATGTGTTTATTCTTCAATAAGAAAATAATTTAATTAAATATCACGATGACTATACCCGTTCCCGTCGAAGGTGACGGTCGAGGTCGGGGCTCTTCTGATTTCCCTCTTCTTCCGGCCATCACGAGCGATATCTTTCCCGTTCTCTGTCACATTGTCCTCTTCCTGAAGGGACAATTCCGTGTCGTAGCTGTCGTCGCTACAACTGTCGTCGATATCGCTGCATTCCTCGTCGCACGTTGGTGCTTCTAGATTCTCGTGAATCCAGCGCAAACTCATTTTTTTAGTTTCTCTTCTGTTGCATAAATTCATCAATTTACGAGCTCATTTTCATATCGCGCATTTAGCACTAAATGCGCAATCACTTGATTTATTAATGTATTTTGCTAATCGCAATGCGTTTGTTGCATTATCATGGAGTAAGAATAATATCGTATATCTAGCCATACATTTACGGCTAAATGTAAGATATATATATATGTATATATATACACACACATATATGTATATATACACATAATTATAGATACATAAAGCATACATTTATGAGCTTTTAAGCCACATTATGTAAAGAACAACATGCATATTTTAATGCTACAAAATTACGTTTTTATGTATTTTAGTCCTAAAGATGATGAGAGTAATATTATCTTTGGAAAAACTGTTTTTTAATTATTTAACAACTATTAAACCCTTCAATTTGTTACACTTAATATTTTAATTTGTCCAAAAATCTAGTATTATTACAGTTTTACTTTACTTTTTAACATGTTTTATTTTAATTTTTAATTTCATGGACACAATATATTTATTAATATTAAATAAAATTCTACGATAAAACTTATAGAAAAATTTTATTTTATTTCTATTTTACCCTTTTTCTCGTAAGGCTTTGCAAAGAGAATTTAAACACTACAAGTATTTATGCCGAGAAAATCTTCCTTAAAGCAGCATTATTCTCATATTTATCGAGAAAGGCGATGAGATATTATAGTAAGTGAAATTTATTCACCTACTATGTACGAATGTATTGAAAACACCTACGCGTGCGAAATACTTTTTATTCAGAAATAAGCTCTATATATATATATATATATATATATATATATATATATATATATACCTATATTCGAACACTATATGTATTCAAAATTTAACGGCACCATGATCTCGGTCTACTAGCGGTCGTGCTCATTGAATATACATATATAAATATAATTGCGTATTAAGCTAATAAAGCTAATTCAATAGAAACAAAAGTACATCGCGTGAGTTAAACGCAATTTTAAAAGACGATCAAAGAATTCCAGGTCAAAAGAACTTAAGTTCTTTTTTTATGTATCATCGACAGCACAGCATGTATGTACCTATACGTATTACTTACAGCTGCCAACACATCGTACCATTTACAAGCACTGACTACATCTGAATACATTTTAAATTTACGTAACATCATTTTTACACACGAATTTGTACACTTATATTATATATTATATACCGCACCAAGTTTTTTGCAGAATTAAGAATAAAAAAAGAAAGAAATTAAGATCGAAGAAGAATCGATGTAGCTATTGAACTTTGCTCGCATAATAAAAGAAATTAATTGAAAGATATATTTTTTCAATCACATCACACTTTAGACAGACCCAAGAAAACTGATCTCTGCAAGCGAGACGATCCACTAGCTTTATGATCAAGGCGTCCACCTACCTGGGTGCTTCACGTTTATCACGCGACTGACTGAGCCTGGTTCTCCCGCGGCTCGTCGAATAATAGCAGACATGACGCTGGCCTACTGACAGTCACCGGCGTCGGCGGTCTGTGGATTCTTGGTGAAGCGAATTAAAAATGGAGCACGTCTCGCGAGTCTTTTAAGTATGTACATCATGCATGCGCATCTTTTTTAAAATCTTCTTTATCTCTCTCCCATATTATTTGGTATTCTTAAAGAGATACGACGTTTTGTTAATATTCCTTCTCGAGGACCTTTGACTTTTTAATAGCAAACTCCGCATTAGCGCGATCTAGCCTTGAACGGAATTATTGATAAATCGGTAATTTTCTGATAATTTATCTTATTTTTGTTATTTAAAAATTTTGTGCTATTTAAAAATGTGTTAGTTGTTTTACATTTATTCTTCCTCCCCTCGCTCCTCCTTCCCCTCCCCTCTCTATCTCACCATCTCCCTCTCCTTCTGTGGGTGTGTGTGTGTGTGTGTGTGTGT